TTTTATTGAATTGAAACTTTGTAGACGACGATAACGAAAAAGAGGGAATATAACAGAACTCACAGTTAAACGAAATTATGGAAGCTTCTAATGTTAGTATGGTGTGTATGTGTATGTGCGTTATGTATGATGAGATACGTATATCGATAGTTATTGCGATATGTTTTTCTTTATAGAAGAATTGTTAATTAATACAAAAATAAATGTATATTGTTGTTTAAAAGCACGGAGTATAATACACGATATACCATCCTCTTCAAAATCTTTCGTTAAACTGGCATGTTGTCATTTATGAAAGTTCTTTTATTGATTGTTGTTTATATCCGAATATTATTTTCATTATACATATGTAGCCTTCGAAAAGTCATATAAATAATATTCAATAAAAGAACTTTCATAGAGGACAATGACTCAGTTCAACGGTGAATTTCGAAGGAGAAGGTAAGTCGTACTTGTATTCTGTGCTTTTAAACTGCAATATACATTTCCTTTAATTAATTATCGATCATTTAGAATATTTGCATTATTTAAACTAAAATACATTTGTTTTAACGTTCCCGGGTGAGTAACTTTCTGTTTGAAATTTTCATCTAATAAAATATCAGATCGAAATTATTTAATTATTATTATTGTTTTTTTTTTCCTTTTTTTTTTGGTAATCAAGTTGTTTGTTTCTTCTGGTCAGTAATAAAAAGGCAAAGAAAAAAAACATTAGAAAAGAGAGATTTTTCTCTTTCATCGATCCTCCAGTGATCTCATTCCCATAATTAAATTTCCTCGTATCGATTCAGAACTCTTTGCGCTTGCATCGACGAGTATTCTAATAAAAAGAGAGGATGACTAAAGTCTGGGATTAAAAACGAGAGAGACGGAGGGAAAGTGTGAGAGAGAAAGAGAGAGGCGACGCAAAGCGTCTCGAAAAAGAATATTGATCTGTTTATCATTCATTTCTCACAATATAATTCGTATACTCTCGTCAATTACATGTGTTAATAATTTCTAATGTACAGTCTGACTTGGAAACATCGTAAAAACGTATTTTACAATTGAAAATATTTTGTATTCTATATAAGAGAGAGATAATATTCGATTTACTTTTAATTATTTAATACAAAATATTTCAAGTATTTTCCCCTAACTCTAATCACAGATGTATTTATCATTTTATATAATAATTAATGATCATTTTTTATATTATTTCCAAAATGATGTTTAAATTACATTGTCGTATTAACAAATTGTTCATAATAAATTTCATAATCCTTATTTTGGTACGAATTCTTACTGATTATTCTTACTGTACTATGATAAATCTTGATAATTTATGACAATTGAATATGAAATAAATAATACACTTTATTGTATTAAGTATTATTATTGAGATAAATTTTATGTAATTTACTTCGATAATAATTACTAAACTAGCCCTTTCTCATTAAATTCTCTTATCAGACAAACTAACGTAATAGCATTCCAACTACTTCTCATTTGAGGGTTAGTTCCTTAATACCTGAGTCAGGAGGAATCTAGTAAGTTTCTAACTTGGTATATTCCATCTTATTGTTAATTTTATATATTCACGACGAATTCTCCGTGAGTTAGTATTATCGATAAGACAAAATATTTCCGGAATGACTTCTGTCACGTTTTTTCCTGAGCTTTAGAGAGAATAAATTTCTAATTGCTTTAAAAACTAACTTAGAACGACATTTTTTCTCTTCTTTTTCTTTTTCTATAATGTTCATAGTTATTTTCGTGCTAAATAAAATAATTATAATTACGTTCAATGTGATGTCAATTAATTCATTATTAACTACGAAAAGATCCGTTTCTGTAGATACGAATCTATTTCTACGAAAATAATATTTCACAATCACTTCAGTGCAAATGTCACTTATCCATTGATAAAATAGACCTTATGGAAATTTAATTTAGCAGACTGCATGCATCAATGATTCATAAGAAAGAAATTTAATCGTTGATCTAAACTCGTCTAATTTTGAAAATTCGATTATATTCTGATATCGAATAAGTTAATCATCTGATCGGATCGATCGTTCCTTCTTTTAACAAGGCCCCCTTTCCCCTCCTCTCTCTGATAGGTTGAAGTTTCGAATCGATAATCGAATAGCTAATTAACTTAATCGTTGCTAAACTTTCAAACTTTCAAAAACGGGCTGATGATGATCTATCGTCATTTGGTCAACTATGGTCCAAATATATAAATTATTTTTAAATTATTTATATTTTCAATTATTAACGTTGTATCATAACGTTAATAAATTCTTAACTTTATATATTCTTCTCTTGTGTAATTTAATTTAACACAGGAATCGCATTCTATTTCCGAGAATGGAATGAATTCTTTTTCTTTCTTCTACGAGATAACATAATTATATCCAAGAATTTTCGCAAACATTAGCATATTTGTTTTTCATTACGATTTGCAATGATTATTTTGCTTGTCAACATATTCACGTGGTTGTAAATCGAAATTAATCTAATTATAAAGCAGGAATAATAATTGAACAATGGGAACTTATTCGAATGCATGTAAATATAAATATACGTACCAATTAAAATTCATTCATAAGTAGCACTGATTAATAAATTTATTTAATGTAATCAATATATGATGACTCCAACAAAAAGCAAAGCAATTAAAGGTGTGACTTATTTTTTATTTAGATTTATATTAAGATATTTGTATCGTTTGTCACGTAGAATCCTTGTTGACTCATCCATCATTTGAACATTATCGTGAATTACATTCGCAATCTGTATTTCATTCAAATGAAAAGTGTAATTTTAAAATTGTCAACGTAATATCCATTTAAATGCCACAGTAGTTCGTTCTGAGAAAAATAAAAAACCATTTTTTATGACTTTATTTTATCCAATTTTTATCGCGAAACATTTTTTTCGAAAATCTCCTTTTTAAGTGATCGTATATATAAATTATTCGATTAATTAAATATTCTATTGATTTGGTCTATGCCGTAGATAAAAATATTCCAACAATATATCAAAGTTCGTCGATGATTTAAATTTGATATAAAGTTTTCAAATACTTTCAATCTTACTATTAAATTGGAATAATTAAGTGACCTGACCTACTATCAAAGTATTCAGTATAGATTTTGATATACCAGGAACAAGATACCAACGATAAAAGAATTATCTTGAAACCTTAAAACATTTTAATGTCCTTTACACGTTGATCGGATGTAAGGTTTTGGTGCTTTTACTAGTAGCAAGGTCATGAAAAATAACGTACAATTGGCGAAACTTTCATAATAGATATTGAAAGTATTCTTTCGCATAATTTGATATTATTGCACATTAGTACAGTAATCAATGTTACCTTGTTATTACTTGATATTTCATTATTATGCAATTAACGCGTCATCGAGTAACAAGTTGATGGTTTACCGTGCCACTTCAGATGATGCCGGCTATTTAAATTTTCTTTAAACGATTATTACTTATTCTCTACTCTATGTATAAATGTATATTTACTAAAATATGATGTTAATGATTCATTCATATCTAAATGATATGTTGTACATAAATTATTAATTCAAGTAACCGAGTATATACGTGGATGGGGTACAAATTTTGGGGACTGACATAAAAACAATTTTTTTTTATAAAAGAATAGGCTTAAAAATGTTCAACTTATAACTATTTATTATATTCTTATTGATTAGTCTTTGAA